AGTATTAGATCTGAGTAAAGGACTAGTCACATGTTGAAAGGAAATCAAAGAGAAGAAGAAGAACTAGATGAAGAAACACACCGCAATAAAGGCCAGGATATAAAATGGATTTAAAATTGGTAATTTGTTTTCAAAATTGAGAGGTTTAGTTCTCACAATTCAATTCATATATATGCAGATTCCTTTTTAATGAATAACTTTTAAATATTGATTAAGAATACCAATGCTTTTCGGATGAAGATAATGTTTCTAAAATTTTGAATATTTTATTTTCGACTCCCAATATACATGTGTGTTTACATCTAATCATAAAAGCCTAAAGAGAAAATATCCCATAAAAAATTGCCAATTTAAATAAGATGGGCGAATAAGGCGTGCAAAATGCCTATAGTTTCAAAAGTATAAAAGTTATATTCAATTTGTGAATTTAGCATTTAGAATAAAGTTATCAATGAAGTATGAACTATGACAAACAAAACTTTTCTGCGGAAAATTGTTTCGGCAAAAGTTATTCCATGATTCTATGATTTTCAAAAAGTTGTATTCTTGGGGTTCGAATCCAAACAATAAAAACCCTCTGTTAATTTTCCCTTCGAGACTAACATGCTTACTGCTAAGCTAAGCTATATCACTCATACAAAGCATTAAATCATGTTTGTGATATGACTCTGACTGAATTAGTTTCATATATTTCTTGGAAAGGTACGAATGTTGAAAGTGCATAAATGTGTATTTTTTAAGGTACAGTGGGTCTTTGCACCATGTTTTTGTTCGACGAAGAATTATTCGTGCGTGGTTGTTTTTACGCATGGTTTGAGTGTAAAAGGTAAAGATAACGAACAGTGATCTCGATCTTCTCAAAAATCAACAAACAATACAAATATGTGAAGAGGGCATGAAATACGGACTCCTGGAAATTCAAGAGGTGGGATCAGGTGCCTAGGAGGAGTAAGCATCCCCTGTTGACTGGTCACATCCGCCGTGAGCCTTATGTATTGATCAGGTAGACGCAATTCAGTACAAAAACCAAGGCTTGACAATTGGTACGAAACAAGTCAGCCAAAATACGACCCAATGATAGGTTATATTTGCTAACACGGTTATTATAACGACCATAAAATTTACAAAATGCTGACTTCAAACGAGGCTGTTGAAATCCCTGTAACATCAACTTATTAGTGAGTAGCCTGCCTCACTTTAAAAATTGATCGTACTCAGAGTAAGCTCTGAGTGGCGAATAAGTTGGGAGACATAAGCACCACAAGCAGGTGATTGTGGAATATTACTACATAAATAAGGAAAATTGACGACGGAAAGGCTAAAGTCATCTCGTTTGTCATACAATCTAGTTGTTAATTGGCCTTTATCGTCTATAGTCTGTAAAATATCTTAATATGAAACAGATGTGGCAGACTCTGTGGTGTCTTTTAGTTCAAGTTCACTGGGATATATCGAGTCGACATACGAATGAAAATAACTATTGTTAGTTGATAAAACATCGTCGACAAATCTGAATGTCGAATTGAAGGACACAGCTGTGTTTTCTTCTTCTCGTGTAGAATTTTTTGTATAAATTCTGCTTCATAGGGATAAAAAAAAACAGGTCAGTTAATAAAGGAGCACAATTAGTGCCCATCGCAATTCCAACAGTTTGTTGGAAAACTTGGTCTCCGAAGACTACATAAATGTTGTCAAAAAGAAACTCCAGCATCCTTTTAATATCAACTTCAGAGTACCTGTGTGAACAATCAGAGTGGTTTTTTACGAAGTAATTTTGCTGATGACCAATCACAAGATGCAAAAATTTCCGAGTTTGTTTTTATTTAAGAAGCAGTTGTCTATGATAACAAAAAGTCTAGATTTTAATTCATCGTGAGGAATTGTTGAATAAAGTGTAGAAAAGTCGTAAGTTTTGATGTTATAGACTTTTGAAAAATATGGTTATTTTAAAGTTTCTAAAAGTTCTTTCGAGTTTTTGAGGATCCACATCTGGTTTACACCACTTCTAGAATAAGCTGTAGCACAGTACGTCTAAGTTTCTTCTTTACAGCAGTTAAAATTTTCGTAAGGAGTAAAGATAAGGACTTAGTAGAACATTTGCTGGACTCAGCAATGTATCTTTGTAAGGATTTTTATGAAGTTTAGGAATCCAATACAGGTAGATCGAAATCATCTTGCTTGACTGGTATATTAAGATTATTAATCACTGAAATATGATTTTGAAGGATTTCTTCTTTGGAAAGTGATTTGTGAGTATATGTAGGATTTTAGAATTAAAATTAAGTTCTTCTAAAATACAATTATAATAATGAGCCTTATACAAACAAAGACGATATTGTTACCAGCCTTGTATGCTGGAACTATAAAATATTTTTGTGCAGTCGCTCTAACCCTTTCATCACTTCCGATTTAGTTAAAACGGAAGGGTAGATGGTTCGCATTTTGCATTTTATTTTTCTAATACGAATCTTTAAAATATTTTTAAAACACTTAATCCATTCTAACAAAATGATCATGTTTTCCTTTTCATATTTATCCCAACGTTTGACATAATTTTCGACAGAATTCATAATGGAAATAAAGTTCTGTCGCCAATTCATATCGGGGCTCCTTGTATTTAGGACCTTTTTAATGATTGCTTTGAGGTCTTCATTTTCAACTATATAAACATCACCAGTAATGGGGTGTCCAGCGGAACTGTAGTTGAAAGACGAAGAAGAGCAAGAACACTAAGGAGGATTTTGTTTTAGATGTTCAATATCTAGGCACTGTAATCTTTCAAAAAAATGGAGCGAAGACCCACTCATATGGAAAAGTTGTGTTTAGTATAAAAAATTGATAATTTTCTTCTTCTTCTAGATTTTTTGTGTGAAAATAAACTACATGTATTTTAGACCAATTTATCAAACCAATTCATTTCATAATCAAAAACAAAATCTTTAAAATGATTTATTTCAATATATAACACAACACAGATTTGAAATAGAAGATTCTTCAGTTTCTAAACATTTTCTTTCGGTAAAGTCGAAGAAAGATTGAAAAGCATTAGAGAGAAGCAGAATGAAGAACTACATCTCTAATCCAAGGAAAACTATTGTGTTGTTAACTATGAATTTACTAGGTGGAGGTAAATGCAAAATTTACAAAGTGATAACTAGTTTTCATGTTCTAAATTTTGCACTTACCTCCACCTAGCAAATTCAAAATTTACAACATGATAAAACCACTAAGTAGTCTAACTTAGATGAATTCGAATGATTTTGTTTCTAGAACAACAAAAAACTTCAGCCAACATGCAACTCTTATGTGCATGAATGAACAAGAGGCCAAATCGCTCACCTGAGCATTTTTATGTAGAGAAAAACAGTATTGAAATGTTTATACATATAAATTTTCCCACCCTACCCCCCGGGGAGGGATGTCATGATTTGAACAAACTTGAATGAATCTACACTACCTAAGGATGCTTCCATACTAATACGACTAAACATGGCTTTCCGGTTTTTGAGAAGAATATTTTTAAAGATTTCCCACCAGTATATTTCTATGTAAAACTTTGATTGCCTAATATGATCCCACCCTACCCAAAGGGGTCATAATTTGAACAAACTTGAATCTACTCTACCTGAAGATGCTTCTATATTAAATATGACTAATCATAGCTTTGCTATTTTATGAGAAGAAAATCTCTTTTTTTTCGCCCCACCCTACTTCCAGAGATTCTGATTTTAAAAGAAATGAATCTATCTACACTATGAAATGAAGCTTTCACATGAGTTTTATCTTTTCTGGTCCACGGTTCTTGAGAAGAAGATATTTTAAGAGACACCAATAAATTTTCACTTTAAAATTTGAACAAATTTGAATCCCTCTCACTTGAGGATGCTTTGTGGCAAGTTGGTTGAAAATGGCCCATGGTTTTTGAGAAGAAGTGGAAAATATGAGAAGTTTACAGACAACACAAGACAGACAGACAGACAGACAGATGGAAGCCAGAAAAGCACACGAGCCTTCGGCTCAGACAACGCATAAACAACGACTTAGCAAACGCATAAATCCAATAGTCTGTATTTTGCTAGCATCTCGTTAGAGAGGAGATGGAGTATCCTAAATCTAACAAGGCACCCTAATAAGGACTAACTGTTGGGGGTATTTGTCCTTTTGAATGGGTAAATAAGCAACACATTATTTATAAGGTCATGTTTTTTTATGAATAGATTATATACAGCTTGTCAGAGTTGCAGGAAATCAGAGTCTTTTATTACTTCCTTATTTGTCATATGTAAGATTTTCTTTCATGTCATTCCTGAATCGAGCATTTATAAATGTTATTACCTTATCCCCGTGTTTCACATTATTTTTATTTTTTTCATGTGGTGCTATTAAACTTGAGTTTTCGGTAAGTACTAAAGACAATGATTCAGTTCTTCTCCTCGAGGCTTACAGCTACAGTATAAACATTGTAATAAGGTCTGTATAAATTGAATGTTCATTTAAAAGTATTCATTTGGAGTGCATGTAGGTTCCCTTGAGACTAACACATATATTAGCGGTCTAGACTAATGGTCGAACGATATCGATGAGGATGGACTTTGGACCGTCAACATGTCTGCGCTGTTATCTTCTGGACTGTTTTTCTTTCGTCCATATTACGGGGTCAGAGAACGAAAATCAATCATAAAGCTTTTTTTTCTGAGCTGGAATATAAAATATGCATTCTACAGTTTCTTACAAAGGTGTTGCTATTTAGTACACAAATATGTGTTTTTAAGTGATCATTATCGAACATGAACACAGAAACCCATTTTTTTTTATACCGTAGTAAGGGACATGTAATTATCATCAATTTCTTGTAATAGTCATCGTGTATGTAAGGAAGATTAAAATAATATTGACAAACTATAAACTAGACTTAAAATAAGTATGATACTATAATACACGTGAAAGTGCGATATGGCGTTATCTTCACTTTAAGCAGACAATCACGTGACAACAGATAACGCAAATTTCAGACGTACCCGTAAACAAATACCACCATTACTAGAACATGATATTAAGATGCCTTTAACCAAACTTTCTTCCAATAGTTTTCCTTTTGGTGGTAATTCTACACAATTCTCAACAGCAGAAGGAAGTCTGTTAGGTAAGGGATTAACGACATCTGTAGACAGGGCCTTACAGACGACTGCTGGGAGGTTTGAGTGGCTTACACTAGTCCTCAGGGACATGACGGACGGGGACGGGTGCCAGCACAACTGCTCGGGTCACGGGACATGTGACAATGGAATGTGTGTGTGTATGGTAAGTGTCGGACCACAAGTGTTTGTCTGTGTGTCTGTATGGTAAGTGTTGGACCACAAGTGTTTGTCTGTTTGTCTGTATGGTAAGTGTCGGACAACAGGTATTTGACTGTGTGCTGAAAGGATACTGCAAAGTCTTGTGTACTGTTAACGTCCTTGACATGTATAGAGATGTCCATATTTCTATTAAAGTCTTATTAAATTACTAATCCAAATGAGTAATTGCAGAAAATTTTACTTAAGAATTCCCTTTAGAGTGGTGTTTGCTGTATACTTTGGAAAACATACCTTACAACCACACCCTGCCTTTGTTTTTCATTCTTTTATTTGCAATTGTTTTTTAATACTGTATATTTGTATATTTTGGTTTTTATTTTGTTCTGTTTTATTTAATATCGGTTTACTCTTTACTAGTAGGACTTAAACAAAAATGTATCACTGTGTTGGTTTTTCATGTGGATTCAAAGTCCCCGGAATATTTATTTTGTCATTATGAATTTATTAAAGCTATAGAAATATGTATCTTTAGTGTGAACAAATGTAACATACATCACAATTACTGTTGAATAAAAATCAAGAGCAAGGATGTTTAGAGAAATACCATCCAAATTACTGTGTACTCGATCAGAAAAGTAAGCGAAAAATCGGTTACTAAAAATCGTCCGATTTGACACCACTTATTAAATCAAAGAAAAGGAACTTGTAATCTGATCGGTTGTTTTTCAAGCGAAATATTCTTTTCCACAATATCATAAATCTTGATTTTTTTCCCCTTCATTCAATATTATAGGTGTCTTTAATCTACAATATTTGAACCCATATTTATAAAGAAATTTTAAATACACGGTTATGTACTTTTAAATCCGATTAAATAAAAAAAATTATGATAACTGATCTTTGATACATCGAAGTGAAATTAATTGTTCATTTTGTTTGAATCAATCTGATTTATTCTATCATCTTGTAATCTGGATAATTTTTTCCCCAGGTGCAGTACGCAGGAGACTTTTGTCAAGACAAAAACACGGGTTATTTTGTGGCATTTGGAAGCATTTTTGCCACCTTAAGTGCAGTCGCCATCATTCAGCTAGTCAGTAAAATATTCCTTTTGGTCGCCTCTAATAAAAATTAATTTCAGTACATAGATTTTTTTTTCTAGATGAAAATAAGCTTTTTAAGCCATGTTTTATATACAATTCTGCTTAAACATTTTCCTTAAGTAAACTTAAAAAGCATTAAAAATTCTAGTTACAAAAACGTACATTTATTAAACATTCATTATGTGTTATTATGATTAACATGGTAGAACACTTTTCATTGTGACACAGGCGTTATGTATCCACAATGAGTACATCAGGCAAAAACATAAGTCTGTGAAGAAGGTTCTCCGAATTAACGCCCAGAAACTCCTGTATGTTTTGACATTCTTTGCCACCGCTATCAAATGCATTTACTTTTTTACAAAGGTATGAATATATTGTGTACAGTAATATGTGTAAAAATATATGAATATATTGTGTACAGTAATATATGTATAAGAATATATATGTGTATATAAGTGTTTATATTTAAACGATTCTGAAAAAAGTCTATCCAGGAATACCAAATAATTTATTTCTACTACCATTTAAAATTCATGTCAACAATATGAAAACCATATCACTGCTAAGTAAAGGGAAATTGTTAATTTTATTTCTAAGAGTGTGACTCTCACAGAAATATTAAGTTTGAATGTTTTTGGTATTACAGTGGAGTATATCAGACATTGCTTCCTCTAATCTCTCCAGTGCGTTCTATCCCGTCATGCTCTCCGGGTTTTCATTTATAATCTGCTTCTGGGCGGAGGTAAGGCATGAGATCGGCTACAGAGGGAGTTCTCCATCATCGTCCCAACAAATAATTAAATAATGTAAAAAATCTTCCTTTAAATTTCAGGCGTTTCATCTCGGCGACATCAAGTTCGACAAGCCACGTTTTCTGGGTAAATCCATCATCGGATTTCTCACTTTTAACTTCCTGATGTACGCTCTTCTCTTTCTACAACTCGTCTCCACCGAAATCATTGATGATCTGGACACAACCGTAAGTTCTTACTCCATTGGTCAATGTTTGTCAAATAGATTTCTTTGAACTGTTACTTGGACTCTGCAACTAGAAATATACCATTTTCGAAAAATAGCAATCCAAAAATATATTTAATTTATAATTTGACTTCAAAAAGTTGCCATGTTGCAAATTTTGTATTTAATACCACCCGATAAATTGAAATTTTACATTTTACCAGGGAAGGGGGCTTGGGTTCTTTGGTGGATTATGTACGAGCATATTTCAAAGTTTATATCATGTCATGTTAAACCATTCCAATTATCCATGTTAATCCATTCCATACTCCCCATCTTAATCCATTCCAATTATCCACATTAATCCATTCCTATATATACTCTCCGTTGTATTTTTTATTGGTTGTGTTAGTTAGTTAAATCGATTTAGAGAGGAAATGACGCAAAAAAAATAACCATGATAGAATAGTTTACAATCTTGATGAAGAAATAATTTCAATTTAATATAATGAAATAAGAAATCAATATTGATCGAGAAAGAAAGATAGCTATTCTCATTATAGAAGAATTATAAGTCTCAGGAATTAATATTTCAGTGGATATGAAATAGAGTTTCGATTGAAACGGAATGAATCACTTATCACAATTATTTTTATTAGGAGCTGATCACCAAGGTGTGTAATTGTTGCTTCGCGTGTCTAATGATCGTAGCAGTGGTCTTTTTCCTCGGGTATGGTGTAGAGGTCTACTTTAAGGTCAGTACTCATACCTTAGAGGTGTCTTATACTGCTAGAGCTTGTAAAACGAACCAAGAGGCCCATGGGCTACAATGCTCAACATGTCTGGTTTAGTTGTTTTTCATCCGAAGATTTTTTCCCTCTATATATTCCGTAAAACTTTGATTGCCTCTTGTGTCCCCTTCCTAACCCTGTAGGTCTTGATTCAAATAAACTTGAATCTATAATCCCTAAAAATATGACAAATCATGGTTGTGTTATTCTTGAGAAAAGGATATTTTGAAAAATCCTATCTATTCCTACATAAAACTTTGATCATATGTTGTGGCCTTACCCTTACTCCGGGAGTCATGACTTGAACAAAATTGAATCTACACTCTCTGAGGATTCTTCCATATAAATGTGACTAATCATGAATTTGCTGTTCTTGGGAAGAAGAGTTTTAACGATTTTCCGATATATTCTTATGAAAAACATTGATCCCCTATTGAGGCCCCAACCTTACCGCAGGGGTCATAGTTTGAACAAATTTGAATCTACACTATGTAATGAAGCTTTCACCAAAGTTTCATCTGACCCAGTGGTTCTTGACGATTTTTGAAAGATGCCACGAAATTTTTACCAATACTAAATCATTTCCCTTTGAAAGAGAGTGTGGTCGGTCCTTAATTTGAACAAACTTGAATCCTATTTATCCAAGGATGCTATTTGGCAAGTTTGGTTTAAATTGGTCCAGTGGTTCTTGAGAAGAAGTCAAAAATGTTAAAAGTTTACGGACGGACGCAATACAAAATGTGATCAGAAAAGCTCACTTGAGCTTTTAACTTAGATTTTAAAATGACCTAAAGTCTGGTAGCTCTTAACGGGGCTTCAGAAATACGTATGTTACACCTTTTAAAGTACTTGTATTCTTGCTCTATTCATGGTCTGAAAATTTGTTTTACTGGTGTCCGTTACGCATGCAAAAAAGCATGCAAGATCATTCAAATGTTTTATTAAATATGTTTTTTTATGTTTAACTGCCAGTGATTTCTAACACAATCTCTATACCACAACAGAATATTATTCAACATCAATAAAACTGTATACTTTTAAAAGTTATCTATCTTTAAAAAAAAAAAAAGAAATAACTTAAACAATCAAGACATGTTTCATTAATGAGATTATAACCGTGGAGAAGAGAAAGAGTAAAAGCCATAATACGTACTATACTATTCTCACAGCTCGATTATTGTATTTCTGAAGTAGGCCTGTCAACACTTTGCAAAAAGTAAACTGAGCTATGACTCTTTGCGGGGTCAACCAAAAGGTCAAAACGGAAAGGAACAATGTTTTTCTATTCTTATACTAACATACATTTGGCAATACTTGTAAATTTACTGTGGTTAATTTTTTTGCGTTTAATGTATGGATAGCTCCGTCCTGTGGTAATAAAATGCAAGATACAAAGTTGACGATTTTGACAAAGTTATAAAGCAAAAAGCTAGCAAGGCTACAGTGAAAATTCTACATGTACGATATATTGCGTTTTTCCAAAGATGGCGGCCTAAGGACATCTTTTGAAAAGAGTGGATTCAATTATAAAGTACCCAGTATAATTTTGTCGACATGTCGTAAATCTGTCGTATACCTAAACATGGTTGCACCCTTCGAAACTAAAATGCTGACATGCTTTAATACCTCCCTTTATACCTAGCAAAACGTGTCACATAAGCTCTATTTTTTTTTTTTTTTTTTTTTTTTGAATTCATGGTATTTACACTTCTAGAACTGTTATTTTATCAGTATTTCCACATTGCCAACGTTTCTACGTTTAAAGTATATTCAAGAGGTTGTATGTATGTACATGAAGTGTCAACAAGGCAGTGCATAGACCTAGATTAAATATTCTGATAACTGTGGTAAGCAATTCTGGCATGCAGAAAGCTCGAAGGTTACCCGAACAGACGTTTTAAGAATGATAATGCTGATCTGGAATTTTACAGGTACATGGGGCATTCAACAGCAGGACTGGGAGCGTGGATACTTGGCAGCTTCACGCGTCTCGCCTTGGGCTGATTGCACAGGCGATTTTACAACTGGTCACAGCGTTATTCATTATAGCAGATGTGAAAGGGGATATTTGGAAAAATCAGTAAGTAACAACAATCCGTGGCACTATTGTTTTCTTTTGTTTTTTTGTTTGTTTGTTTGTTTTTTTTTTTTTTTTGTATGTAGACCATTAATTAAGGTGGCTTTCCTTAAGCAAAGGCCTACTTCGCATGTTGTTTTTTTCTGATTTTTGTAGTTTGCCAATAATAAGTCAAAACTTTTACGACATTGGATTTAGAATTGTTGAGTTTGGTGTCGTGCTTTGGTTTCCATGTGTCCTGTGGAATTGTAAAAGGTAATTTTAAACCTTAGCAATGTATACAAGTATCTGGGCTCAGTTCTTGTAGAGCAAACTCTAGAGAGTCAATTTTAATCTTTTCTAACAGCCCAGAAAACCTATGGGTGTTAAATCCGACCACCTTGTTCAAAAGTTTGAAGACGTCAGAGAAGTCTGAAACGGACGCGGTGAGGGATGTTTCTCAAGAGAACTACGGTTCGGTGTACCAAATACAAGGTATAAATAAATCAGTCCCTATTCCAATCTTTGCCCAAGATCAATTCCAAAAATCAAGAATTTACTAAATTATAGCTCTGTGTTACTTCTACAGGCTTAAAACAAGACTGTTGGATTTGTTATGATCCCGACAGAACAGACGCGGGGACACTCATTCAACCATGTCAGTGTCGTGGTGACGTAGCTTCTGTCCATCATGAATGTCTCCGAAAATGGCTGATAGAGGTAAACACACACATAGAGAGAGAGAGGGGGGAGACTAGTTAGGCCTTAGGTTACTTGTTAGGCCTTTGTTTTGTACTGAATTGACTACAGATAGTTTCATCTACCTGATCAACCCATAGGGCTCACGGCGGATGTGACTGGTCAACAGGGGATGCTTACTCCTCCTAGGCACCTGATCCCACCTCTGGAATTTTCTAGGGGTCCCTGTTTTATGCCCTATTCACATATTTGTATTGTTTATGGATTTTTTATTTAGATCAATCACTGTTCGTTATCTTTACCTTTTAATAGTTAAATATATTTTGGATTCTTATTGTATTTCTTCAATTTCAGTGTGCTGACCAACAGAAAGAATTAAAATGTAAAGTTTGCAACGAATCTGTAAGTATCAAATTGATTAATGCAACAGTAAATAACTGTTGTTGATAATCAGATAAGAAGAAAGAAGTGTCTCTGTTTCAGTATAAAGTTAGTGGAGGATGGTCTTGGTTTCCAAGAGGACTGAAACCTCGTCACTGGTTACAGAATTTCCTCATTTTGATCGTGATCACGTCTGTCCCTTTCATCACATACGCCATAACCCACTCAGTGACGTCATTATACATCAGAATATTTGTGATTGGTGCATGCATTCTTGTGGAAATTGGTTGTCTTAGGTAGAGCACAGGATACTTTTTTTTCTTTTTCTGAATTTATGGAGTATTATTCATTTAGAAAGAAATGCATATAAAATTTTACTCATTTCCACAGAATTCTGGCCTCAAGTTTTGGCGTCTGTTACAAACGGGGACGACTCTCTACCCTTACAATTTCTGGGCGTGAAGTCAATAGTGTCATAGAAACTCTACCCATGCCTTCAACGACGTCACTTCCGGCACACTCAGCTAATGTGGAAACAACTGGTGAGAGTGTTCAGTGCAGCAAAAATAAGACAAATAACTCCTCAGATTGTGGAACTTTGAATGAAACTTTCCAAGACATTCCAAATTCCTTATCCGTGAAGGCTGTTATTGAACAAAGCTGACCAATGTACATGCATTGTAGAAATAGTTAAGATCTACTCGCTCAGTATACTTGTATTAATTTTTTCTTGCGTAGTGAGTTGAAAAATCAGTTAAGTAGTTGTTGATTTTTCTACGGCATAATACGTTATTTTTTTATGAGATGCATGTCTTAAGAATTTGTTGACTTGTTTCAGATTTAGGTTAAAATACCTATATTGGATAAACTGTTTTTGTTACAGACCCTCTATATACTAATAAAAGTGAGGGATTTCTTGACTACTGTTTGTTTGTTTATTTATTGTTTAACGTCCCTCTCGAGAATTTTTCACTCATATGGAGACGCCACCACTTGCTGGCGGAGAGCTGCAAAGAGGGTGTTGCAGTCCTTTTGTTATTTTCCCTAAATGTGTAGCAGATTAAAAGAAGAATTTTAAGTCACAGAAAGCGATGTTAATTTTTATGCCCCCGGATCAAAAGATCCCGGGGGTATATTGTTTTTATCCTGTCTGTCTGTTTGTCTGTCTGTCTGTTTATATGTTTGTCTGTTTGTCTGTCTGTCTGTTGTCATCTATAACCTTGCCAATAACTTTTGATTGGTTGGAGCTATGACTTTCATATTTCACATGTGTATTTCTTGTGACAAGACCTTTCTTTGGGTACCATCATATTTGACCTTGACCTTGGAGTTTGAGCCACTTTTGCAAAATTTTATGAGACTTTAACCTTGGCCATATCTTCTGAACAGTTGGTGCTTGGGGTTTCAAACTTCACGTGTGTATTTCTTGTGACAAGATCTTCCTCTGGATATCGACCTCTTTGACCTTTTGGCCTTGACCTAGGAGTTTGACCTACTTTTAAAAAACTTTAACCTTGGCCATAACTTTTGAACAGTTGGAGCTATGGCTCTCATACTTCACATATGTAATTCTTATGACAAGACCAACCACTTTAACCTTTTGACCTTGACCTAGGAGTTTGACCTACTTTTAAAAAACTTTAACCTTGGCCATAACTTTAAAATGGTTGATGCTAGGGCTTTCATACTTCACATATGTAATCCTTGTGATAAAACCTTCCTTTGGATACCAACCACTTTGACCCTTTGACCTTGACCTAGGAGTTTGACCTACTTTTGAAAAACTTTAACCTTGGTCATAACTTTTAAATGGTTGGTGCTAGGGCTTTCATACTTCACAAATATGATCCTTGTGACAAGACCTTCCTTTGGATACCAACCACTTTGACCCTTTGACCTTGACCTAGGAGTTTGACCTACTTTTGAAAAACTTTAACCTTGGTCATAACTTTTAAATGGTTGGTGCTAGGGCTTTCATACTTCACATATATGATCCTTGTGACAATACCTTCCTTTGGATATCAACAACTTTGACTTTGACCTTGACGTTTAACTTACTATTAAAAAACTTTAACCTTAGCCATAACTTTTGAACAGTTGCAGCCAGGGCTTTCAAATTTCACAGGTATATTCCTCGAGACTAGACCTTTCTTTGGGTACCAACATTTTTTTATCTTTTGGCCTGGATTTTGACTTGCATTTGAGAAACTTTAACCTTCGCCATACGGTGCCATACGGGGGCATCAGTGTTTCACAAACACATTTTGTTTTCAGATACAACGGTTTATACAGCACAGTGTAGAACAACATTTGGAAGCTGCATATTGACTTCCAATTTACCATTAAATGAAGTGTCAATTAGTCACACAGCAAAATATATCAGATTTTCTGTTTTTTAAATAGGGAATCCCCGTTGTTCCGAAAAATTGCCTCCTTGAAACAGAATAAATTTGATATATGCACAAAGAGGCAGGAATTTTCTTCAAAACTGCCATTTCCGATTTTTGTTTCAAAGAAGCATATTTTTGAAAAACACAAAAATTGAATAAAAATTATTATCCATACGAAATGCAAAGTGTGTACATAAAATAATGCACAGATAAAGAGTGTCTGAAATGGTCTAGTGGTTATGCTGGTGGACTCCTAACAAATTATTTTACCTGAGAAAGGGTTCGAATCCTGGAAATGGGTCGTTTTTGCATTTTTTCTTCACTTTTTTCATGTATGGAAGTGCAATAAAATATCTATTTTAAGAGAGCGAGGGAAAGAGAGAGAGAGAGAGTATGTGAGAGAGAGAATGTCAAGAAGTTAATGAGTAATATTTTAAACGCATGCAGATTTAAATTGTCTTCCTTGATACTGTGACCTAAAACTAATGACACAATGCTATTATTTAGTTGAAAGGCGATACTTGGAAAATAAAGTATTGTTTTAAATAATTTATTTTTTACCTTAGTTTACTCATTTTGACTCATTTTTGGTCTGTTATTTAATGGCCAAGATTTGATTTGAAACATATGGAATGTCTTGGATGTTGCATAAACAGTGTGATTATGGGACACAGTAACAGCTTTAACCTTCCTATTTTTTGATGATATGCTTTGAACCTGATTATATAAATATTAATAGTGTAGACAAGATGAGGTGGTTGAATTAGCAAGAAAGTACGCGCATGCACACTTGCTTCGCTCTAATTGGCTGACACAAAAAAATCTCAATAACTTTTTTTGTTTTTTTTACCAAATGCTTTGAAATTTAAAACATAGTCATGCATAAGGAGGTTCTATATATGATATATATATATATATATATATATATATATAGAAAGCACAAAGAAATTCACTTTTATAAGGATACCCACTTCCGCCCCAGCCCGGGGTTGAACTCTCGACCTACAGAATCTGTCTCCTAGCAGTACAGGGACGGCACGCTAGACCGCTCGGCTATCTAGGCAAGTCAAAAAACTTGCTTTCGATACCAATGGAATTCTCGCGGCGCTGCTCTACACTACACGGTCACTGAGAATGGAAGTGACATACAGTTATTTGGACATTAGTTTTATTAGAGGATCGTTACCAATACACGTTGTAATGAAATTAATTTTCATTTATAAAGCACATTATATATATATATATATATATATATATATATATATATATATATATATATATATATATATATATATATATATATATATATATATATGAGATATCGTGAATACACGCGCATGCACGTGTGCTGTAATTTGATTGGCTTAAAATTTAAATGGTTGTAACTTTCTTAGTTTTCAAAAAACAGGGTGAAATTTAGAATATAGATAGGTATAATGGGGTCCTACATTAGGCTACTATCAAAATTGAATGCAAGAACATGCATGCACGTGTGGCTGTATCTCTCATAGTTTTCAATGAAAGTGTTTGAGATTTCTTACATAGGTATTTATTGTGAGTCTCTTTACGAGGATCTAGAAAACATGGGCAAGCGCATGCTCTGAAATCTGATTGGCTAATACTCAAAGGACTATACCGGCGTTGTTTTTCGATTAAATACTTCTGAAAATAAAGTGTAGATTTATTATTTCAATAGAATAGATCAACAACACAGTATTGGCAGTCTTTGCACAGGCACTTGTTTCGTATACGGGGCATCCTTACTTATTTTTACCACAAGGTATCTAACTCAATTTCATTCACCCACGCTTCAAGCTCGTATTTTGTTAATACATCAATCATTAATCTACTTTAAATTGATATCGTTCGCTTCGAGAGAATTTTTTCTTGTCATACAAATCGTTTCAGACGTCTCTGGTCGAGCCTCTTTATTGTAAACAACTCATTTATTCCTCGAAAATTACCTCGTTACATATTAAGACTTTAGATGGGATACAAAATTCCGGTAAAAATAAGTAGGGGTGCCCGAATACGAAACAAATGCCTGTGATTCTTTGTCATGGCTTTCATAATAATAATATATGTTGAAATCAGATTTGACAAACACTATATCAATCCACTATATTATTGTATTATGTAATATGTCATTAAACTAAGATGCGTGATCTACATCGACTTTGGTTAGTTATGATGGAAGATCAACACTCAATAAATTGATCCGTTAGTCAATATTTCAAACAATCAATACTTCAATCAAACAACACAATAAACAACATATGAATGAACGTTGTCAATCATTGAATGTTTCAATCAGTCAACATGACAATCAATCAGTATATCAATATTTTCAATCGCTCAATGTATTCTATCAATGTGTCAGTTAAAATAAGCCCAATTATTGGCCACGGACCTGGAAGAAAACAGAATCCGGGGCAGGCTTAAGCAAAATTCGGCCATATGTCTTCATGTATGATAAATAAGGTATGATACATGAAGACATCCGTAAAATTTTGCCCCAGTGCCATGACAGGAGACTGTATTTACACGGAAGAGGGTCGGGGGGTAAGTTTTGGCATTTCTACGTACAATGCAGAGTAAAAGTGTTCAAAAATGTTACCTGAGCTGTATTGGACAAATGTGTTCCATTACGATATAATTTTGATGTAAATTGCTGCAGATCTGGGTATTTTATATATGCACCGTTACTGACACTATGAGTGGTGCTAAGGATTTGTTAATTCTTTTACGGGCTTTCTCAGCTGCAATGTTTGAGAGTATGTGTCTACAGTAATTTCTTGGGAGTATTTGGGACCATATGAAGCGTGTGTTTGGCAGCAGGACTTGCAAGTTAACAATAGTCAATTTCATATACTTTTGAAGTCTACGCAATGGCATAGTGCCTATACTATTGTCTCCACAGTGTATCAATACAAAATCAGGGTGTCCCTTTTGGTCAACAAGATGATTAACTGTGGGCTCTACATCCTCCCATGAGCGTTTCCAAATGGCTTGTCAGCATAAAGGGCAGCATAATGGACTATGGATGATCCAATAATCCAAACAGTAGTATGACCTGCAATCTTAGTATTCTGTTAGAATACGATAACGTTGCAAGCATAAACATAACCAATAAAACCTAATGTAAGAGTTGAATACGTTAAATTTCCATCTACCTTTAGATTTAATATCCTCAGAAACTCCTTGCAAGTACAAATGAGTAGCCACCGTTCACGGTAGCTCAGTCGGTAGAGCGCTCGCTCCGTGATCGGGAGGTCGTGAGTTCGAATCCCGGCCGCGACTGACCTAAG